CCCAAGAAACAAACTGAACCCTATATATATTCTATATAGTCTTTACAATGATGTTTTATCATACTTGATATTCCAAGGTGTATTGCCAAAACAAAACAAAGGCACTCTCCTAAATAATCATAATACAACCTTTCCAAGCAGGTAATTAATATTAATAAAATAGTACCATCCAAGCTACAGGCTTCATTTTCATTTTACGTGTGGCATGGATTCTTTTGCTTTCTGAGCTAGATTACTATCCAGATACATGTACATAGCAACAGGTTACACCTTGATAGTTTTTTTTCCAGCTAAACTTCTCAGCCCTTCCTTGTCTCTCTTATGTACCTGATAGTCTTTTTTTAAACATTTTTTATTTATAATTTCTATTATTTTATGTGTATGCATGTATTGCCTGCATGTAGGTAAGTGCACCCATGTCATGCAATGCTAGCGGAGGACAGAAGAGGCTGTTGGATTCCCTGGAACTGGAGTTACGGACAGTTGTTAGCTGCCATGTGGGTGCTGGGATTCGAACCCGGGTCTTCTGCAAGAACAACTAGTGTTCTTAACCACTGAGCCACCTCTCCAGCCACTGTACCTGATAGTCTTAAAGAACACAGGATTTGGGCCTATAAGATAGCTCAGCAGGTTAAGGCACTTGCTGCCAAGTCTGACCAGAGTTCAATCCCTAGAACCTACATGGTAAGAAAACTGACCCCAGAAAGCTGTCCTCTGATTTCCATACATGTACATACATACACAGTAATAAAAACATTTTTCAAAAGTACACGGGATTTTCATTCTGTAGAATGATCTTTAACCTAGTCTCTCAATGTTTCCTTAAGACCGGATCCAAGCCATGAATTTTTGGCTCAAAGGAAAAAAATCTTCCTTTCTATATAAATATTTTAGCTCGTTCAATTCCCAGAAGAACGAACTGTGACCATTTGTGGAGAATGGCACGAACACATTCATTCAATTGTTTAACAATATATCCTGGGTGAATACTATGTGCCAGGCATTGTTCTGTGCATTTAGGAGGTGGCAGTGAATGGATGTGTGTGTGTGTGTGTGTGTGTGTGTGTGCAGATATACACATATATGGTCATAAATATGCTTTGGAGAAAAATGAAGACTGATAAATGTAGTGAGATATGGAGGTATGGATGGAGAACTTCTGAATTCCACTTTCACTGTAAGCAGCTAATCCTAAATAATCTCTGTTAGGGGAGCACAAGGAGCAAAGTGCTAACCACCTTATTTCTGGGAGAGGGTTCTTTTCCCCTGAGGAAGCCTCATATTGAAAACTTGACAAGATCATGCACCATCACACCCTCCTGCCATCCATCAAGACTCCGGTGTAATTGGTTCTCTTGGAAACCAGTGAGCTGTAAACAATCCACTCTCAGAACACACATGCTACTACCTCATACACATGACATAAATGTGGGAGGGCATTTCTTAAGATTACCCAGTGGCAAAGGCAAAGCTGGAGCATAAATCCTAATTCTGTCTCCAGAATCCTATTTGAAGATAAGAGGGGGGGGGGGAAGCAAAACACCTCCAATACTATGCTAAAATGTCTCAATTTCCTACCTGAAAAGGATATGAAGATAAGAACCGAGGCCAGTTAAAATATGCCACCATGCATGAAACTGTGTGGCAACACCTAGGATGGGTGGCACCTTCTTTCGAAAGCTCCTGTGTTGAGAAGGGGGAAACCACGAAGTTAAAATTAAAGATATTTAGTTAGCACTAGCATCGACAGTGTGGCAACTATTGAAATATTCAAAATATGGCAATTATTTAAGTTCCTTCAATCTGCTGTATTGTTTTCCAAAGTGTATTCTGAGAAACAATATTCCCAGAAGTTTCATGAATAAATGACTCAAATTCATGTGGAAAACAATTTGATCTCTTACTAACTTTTAATGCACATTAATAGATTAAAGACTTTGAAAAGTCTTACTATGAATAGTGTTTATCATTTTGTTCCAGATAACGTACTAATCCATAGAACTTGTTTTTTTAGGTAATACTTTATTAATATGCCATGAAGCAACTACTTTTTTGTTGCTGTTGTTGTCTTTTTGAGACAGGGCCTTCCTGTAGCACCACCTGGCCTGGAACTCACTATGTAGACCAGGCTGGCCTTGACCTCACACAGATCCATCTGCCTCTGCCTCCCAAGTATTGGGATTAAAGGCGTGTGCTACCATGCCTGGCTGGAGCAACTACTTTTAGAAACACACTTTGAGCAATACTAGTCTAGCTAGTTCTCTACTCAGGAAGTATATACATTTCATTTCAGTATACCACCATACAGTCCATAAATCCCATACCTGTGAATACACACCTTACTGCTTCTCTGAGGAGGCAGTACTAGTAATGGTATCATAGGTCAGGAACTAAAATTTAGAGAAATTAGTTGTTTTCTAATTTAGCTAGTTGCACAGGTGGGTCTCATCAGGGGATGATGATCTATGCAGCATGTAAAGCTTCTGCATTCTACTGGGCATTCTTGATTCAGAACACACACCTAGATCTTAAGTTTTCTCTTCTCTCGTCTCCTCTCACCCCTACAGGGTTTCATGTAGTTCAGGCTAGTCTTCAAATCCTGAACCTCCTGACTAAAGTTCTGGGATTATGGATATGTACCACCACATCCAGCTAGACTTTAGCTGTCTGAGCAAGGTATGTATTTATTTGCCTACATTTAAAGTTCTACATTAACTTATATAAATTTTTACTACATAGAGTTTCAAACACGTGCAAAAGTAGATAAGGAGCGAGCCGTGTGTGGTGGCAAATGTTTATAATTATAGCACTTGGGAGATGGAGGCAGGTGAAAAAGGAATTCAAGATCATCCTAGGTTACACAGTGAGCTCAAGGCCAGCCTGGGCTATGTAAGATTATCTCGAAAAACATTGTACCACCCAAAAGTAAACAAATTAATAATGCATCTATTACCTAACTTCAATAAAGATCAATTTATACTCAATTCATGTCATCTAAACCTTCATCCATTTCTGTCTCCCATATTACTTTGAGGAAAATTCTAGACATCATATCATTTTATTTCTAAATATTTCAGTATATATGTCTAGAAGAGAAAACTTTACAAAACAGCTATAATACTATTTCACACTTAAAATATAACCCCTTAATAGCAAATAATTATTAATCAGAGTCCCACATTTGTTTTAGTGTTTTTGGAGACAGGTCTCCTTGAAGCTCCAGCTGCCTGGAACTCACTGTGTAGACCAGGCTGGCCTTGATCTCACAGAGATCCATCTGCCTCTGCCTCCCGATGGGAATAAAGTCATGTGCCACCTGGCTATATTTGGGTGTTTTTCTAAGATCCACAAAAGGCTAAAACATTACTAATTAATGGGTTCCCTATACTGCTCAGATTTTTTGATGTTGGGGATCTAACCCAGGGCCCCATGCGTACTAGATAAACACTCTATCACTGAGCTATATCCCCAGCTCCCTTAATATAGCTCTTAAACCTTTTAAATCTGTATGTTATACTTCTCCTTTCTCCCTCCTGCAATTTATATGCTGTAGAGACCAGATCATTTAACATTCAACTGAAACTTGCCGACTGACACTTTTCTTAGAAAATAACATCAATCATATGAACTTACAAATTTACATGCACTTTAAACAGTTATTCAAAATCATTTTTGTTTATTCAATAAAAAAGATTAGGTAGTTTTCAAAGATGTAGTAAACTTGTGATTAACTGTGATGTAAAACATCCAAAGGTCATGAAATATTTTGAGGTTTTAATTTTTAGGTTATTTAAACAGGCATTCCCAGAACTCAACCCTACTATGCTATACAATGTCAATATTGGTAGAGATTCATTTTAGAACATTATTGTTTCTACATGACTAGAAAATTCTCTGCTTAATATAATGCTTCCAAAAGTATTTTCTGGGAAAATATATCTTACCTCAGTGAGTCACAAAAGATGTTATCTACATTCCATAATAAAAACCCCAATAAAAAGATAGCCAAGGATGTATAACCAAGTCCTCTAAGCCATGGATAAACCCTGTGGAGAAAAGAAAAGCAACATGAAAATCTTCAAGTCATGTCGTGATTGGAGGTGAGAGTTAGAAGCCACCTTTTTATGAGAAGGAAAGTTTCTCAAACAATGAAGAGCAAACCCATTTATTAAATGTTTTAATGCCTTTGCCAATCACATATTACATACAAAATATTTTTGGGGGGGGGTCTTGCTATACTGTTCAGTCTGATCTCAAATTTCTGGGTTCCTGAAGTCCTCCTGCCTCAACCTCTCAGGCAGCTGTGGATTGTAGCAGTTCACCACCATGCCTGGACAACTGCCAAACATTTACCTAAGTAAAGATACTGAGAAACTAAGTACGTGAAGAAGATAATTTGATTACTTGTCCAACAACTTTTCAGTGGCATGGAGGAGAGACAGGGATGATAGGTTTGAATTAACATGGGTTGAGGCACATGCTCTGCCAGGCACTAAAGGTAACACACACACACACACACACAAAATCACTTAATATATGTGTCAGCCATTGTTCTAAGCATTGAGTGGGCAGCTGTTAAAAAGACAAAGTCCTTACTCTCAGGGATCTAGCATGGTTGGGAGAAGAAAATGAAACATTTGTTATAAATGTTTTCAAGAAAAATAAAGTTTGGTAAAGGGAGGGAAGGTTAAATATGGAGGTATTTATTTGGGTGGGGCATACCCCCGTCAAATCTTCAAAAGACCCTAAAAGGCAAAATAATATTTAAAAAAAAATTTTTATCTTTATATTTTTATGTGTATGCATGTATTGCCTGCATGTAGGTAAGTGCACTCATGTTGTGCAATGCCCGCGGAGGATAGAAGAGGTTCCCCCAGAACTGGAGTTACGGACAGTTGTTAGCTGCCATGTGGATGCTGGGATTCAAGCCTGGGTCTTCTGCAAGAACATCCAGTGTTCTTAACCGCTCCAGCCCCAGCAAAATGTTCTTTTCACTTTACTGATAAGGAAATTAAAGGTTGATAAGTTACCTAAAATACAGTAATAATAGCATGTTTACATTTTATAGCTTCAATGAAGTACTTTGTTTTTGAAACAGGTTCTTGCTAGGTAGCTATGGCCGGCCTGCAAGTACACTACGCTGATCTCGAATTTGTAAATACTCTCCCTGCTTCTACCTGACAAGTACTGAGATTACAAACAGATATTACTACACCTGGTTTAGGATGTATATATTGAAAATGTATATCTGGAGCCTGGAGAGATGGCTCAGCAGTTAAGGGCGTATATTACTCTTCCAGAGGACCCGAGTTTGATTCCCAGAACTCACATTAGGTGACTTACAACCATTTGTAACTCTAGCACCAGGCAATGTGCTCTTCTGCCCTCCAAGAGCATCTGCATTCATGTGCACATATCCACATAAAGATACAAAACTAAAAATTAAATTTAGAAAATTTAAATGTATACCAAATTTAGTGGTTCACATCTCTAATCTCAGTGCTTAGGTTTTTTTTTTTCTTTTAAAGAGGATGGAATCATATCATATGTACTCTTTTACCTGATAGCATCTTTCATTTGGTATTGATAGATTCATCCATGTAATACACTGTTGCATGGATATAGCAGTTTGTCTAAATGTTAGTAGACATTTTTGTTTCCAGTTTTGAAATTTTATTATTATTATATGTGTATGAGTGTATCACCTGCAATTATGTACCTGTGCCATGCAATGCCCATTGAGGTCAGAAGAGGACATTGGATCCCCTGGAACTGGAGTTATGGACAGTTGTTATCTGCCATGTGGATGCTGGGACTTAAACCCAGGTCCTCTGCAAGAGCAACCAGTGCTCTTAATCAGTGAGCCATCTCTGGCCCGTTTCCAGTTTTTGATCATTACAAATAACTCATCTGTGAATATTCCTAATTACAAAATTATATAGAAATATACTTTCATTTCTCTTGGGCAAATAGGTAGGAGGAAAATGGCTAAATTGTATGACAGATGAATATTTAGGTTTTTAAGGGACTGTCTAAATGTTACCTTTTTTCCCCTCTCACTTCCATTTCCCTTCTCTTTTTACTTCATTTCCCTTTCCTTCTATTCTCTTTCTCTCTTGGAATCAAACTAACTGTGCATGTTAGACAAGCTTCCTAGAGCCCCAAGCATTTTTCCTAATAGTACCAATTTACATATCCTCCAGTCATAGCCAAGTCATTCCAGTTGTTCAAATCCAACACCTGGTATGTCAGTCAGTCCCTTTCATTTTAGCTGCCATATGTGTGGTTTCTCTAGCAGTGCAGTGGCATTTCACTGAGTTTTTTTTATTTGCGTTTCCTTAACCACTAAAACAGAGTGTTCTTTTGTGTACTCACTTGCCATCCATATATCTTCTTCAATGTAGTATTCACTGTTTGAGTTGTAACAGTCTTTTATATACAGTCTTTTGTTGGATATGTACTTTGGAGATAGTTTAAGTCTGTGACTTGCCTTTTGTTTTTTGAACACTATTCTGAAGAGCCAAGTTTGTAACATTTTTTTTCTAAGCCAGGCTCCCTCTATGGTTTCCCACAATGGCCCTGAACTCCTGGGCTCAAGTTACCTTCCTGCCTTCATTTCTTGCTCATGCTACCCAGTCTGCAAAAAGTTTGTAATTTTTTTTTTTTTTTTTTTTTTTTGGTCTTCCCAGGTTTCAAAAAGTTTGTAATTTTTTTTTTTTTTTTGTCTTTTTGAGACAGGGTCTCCCTGTAGCCCCAGCTGTCCTGGATTCACTATGGAGACCAGGCTGGCCTTGAACTCACAGAGATCTGCCTGCCTCTGCCTCCGGAGTGTTGGGATTAAAGGCAAGCGCCACCATGCCCGGCAAAAAGTTTGTAATTTTTTAAAAAGATTTTATTTATTATTTTTATTTTATGTGTATGAGTGTTATGCCTCCGTGTAGGCAAGAGCACCCGTGTCGTGTAATCCCCACAGAGGACAGAAGAAGCTGTCGGAGCCCCTGGAACTGGAATTATGGACAGATGTTAGCTGCCATGGGATGCTGGGATTTGAATCCAGGTCTTCTGCAAGAATAGTCAGTATTCTTAACTGCTGAGCCATCTCTCCAGCCCCCAAAATTTGTAATTATAATGAACTTCAAACTTCAATTTATCATTTTTTTCTTTATAGCTGGTGCTTTTTATATCCTAATAAATAAATCTTTGCCTAATCAAAGTCTGCAAAGACTTCTATATTTTCTATTAGAAGTTAATGATTTTAGTTTTTACATTTAGGGATATGATTTACTTCTATTATATTTTTATAATGGGGCTGAGGACATAGTTCAAAGGAACGACACTTCCTTAGCAGGCATGATGCCTTTGGAAAGATCCCTAGCACAAGAAAAAGAAAAAAAGTGAAGGTATAAGATTATTCAGAATGTTCTACCAGGTGTAGTAGCCCCTACCTGTAATTCCAGCTCTTGGGAGGCTAAGGCAGAAGGATCATGAATTTGAAGTGAGCCTGGGCCACACAAGAGAGAAACTACCTCACAAACAAAAATTCATTTTTCTAGAGCACTTAGTTGAAAAGATGATCCTTTCTAAATTACCTTGGCATTTTTAATGTAAGATTGAGGTCAGTGTAGTGTGTTGGTCTATTTTAGATTCTCTAGAGTCTGTCCTTTACCAGCTATAGTACAGCATTGTCATGATTTGTACAGCAAAATAAGTCAAACACTGAAGTTCTCTTGATTTTTTTATTTCTACTGAACCCAGAGCCTTGTACAGGTTAAGCATATACTCTACCAGTGAGCTATACCCCCCAATTCCAGTACTCTAACTCAAGTGTTCTATTTCAAAACTGTGTTTGTTTTGGTTTTGTTTTTTCTTTTTTGGGGGTCTTTTTGAGACAGGGTTTCCCTGTAGCCCCAGCTGGCCTGGAACTCAATATGTAGATCAGGCTGGCCTTGAACTCACAGAGATCTGCCTGCCTCTGCCACCCCAGTGCTGGGATTAAAGGTGTGCACCACCATGCCCGGCCTTGTTTTTTCTATTTTTTGAGACTGTAGTCCCAGCTGGTCTTGGACTCACTATGTAGACCAGGCTGGCCTTGATCTCAGAGATCTGCCTGCCTGTGCATCCTGAGTGTTGGGATCAAAGGCGTGTGCCAGCACACCTGGCTGTTTTTGTCTATTCTTTATCTTATTTTGAAAAAAGACATTTATTTTTAATTTTATTTGTATGAGTGTTTTGCTTGCATGTATTTAAGTTCACCGTGTGTGTCAGTGTCAACAGAGGCCAGAAGAAGGCATTAGATTTCCTGGAACTAGAGTTACAGACAATTGTTCACCACCATGTGAGTGTTGGAAACTAAACATGGGTCCTCTGGAAGAACGGCAAGTGCTCTTAACAGCCTAGCCATCTCTCTAGTCCCTATCATGGATCTTTTGTATTCTATATAAATGCCCAAACCAAGTTTCAGCTTTTATTTACCAAAAGCCTGTCAGGATTTTGATTATACTAAACATGCAGATCATGTTGAAAAAACTGACATCTCAACAATACTGATTTTTTTTCTAGCCCATAAAAGATAGTTTTTCTATTTATTTAGATCCACTAGTTTCTCAGCAAAAAACTGTAGTTTTTCAATGGACAGGTCTGGCACACATTTGTTGCTTTTACTCTAAACATTTGTTGTTACTGTAAATTGTACATTAAAAAAAATTTTTTTTGTAGTGGCATATGCCTTTAATCCCAACAGGTGGATCTTCATGAGTTCCAGGTCAGCCTGGTCTACATAGCAAGTTCTAGGCCAGCTGGGGCTACAGGGAGACTCTGTCTCAAAAAACAATACAAAACAACCTACTCCCCCATAAACCAAAAACAATTTTTTTCTTCTTTTCAGTATTTACTATTAATACATAAGGATATGATTTTTCTTTGAGGGGCTGGAGGAATGGTTCAGTTAAGAGCACTGGCTGTTCTTGCAGAAGACCTGGGTTTGAATCCTAGCACCCACATGGCAGCTAATAACTGTCCATAACTCCAGTCACAGGATCTGACATCC